AATGCCATCGCACCAAATGTCCCCCCCTTCCTCCTTCTTCCCCCCACTTTATATACTGAGCATGACATCATATGGTCTGGAATAACCCTTTGGTCAGTTTAGGGCACATGTTCCAGGTGTGTCTCCTCCCAACCTCCCATGCACCCCCAACTTTCTTGCCAACATGGCATTATAAAAAGCAGAAAAGGCCTTGGCTTTGTGTAAACCCTGCTCAGCAACAACAAAAGCATCTCTATATTATCATCAGTGTTCAGCACTGTATCGGGTCTGGCTGAGCTGGAGTTCATTTCCCCATAGCAGCCCTCACAGTGCTGTGCTTTGCATTGGTAGCTAGAAGGGTGTTGATAACACACCAGTGTTTTGGCTACTGCTGGGCACAGCATCAGCACTGTAACATTTCTTCCCCAAGTGAGGGCAAGAGCCTGGGAGGGGACACAACCAGGCCAGCTGACCCAAACTGACCAAAGTGAGAAGCCTCCTTTACGATATAAACAAATTGGGATCTGTAAGTATTTGTACCACAGGAGTGATTTTTACACTGTCATAGAATCATAGAATCAGATAGGTTGGAAAGGACCTGAGATCATCAATTCCAACCCTTGATCCACTACCACCACAGTTACTAGACCACAGCACTAAGTGCCACATCCAGTCTCTTCTTAAATACCTCCAGGAACAGAGAATCCACCACCTCCCTGGGCAGCCCATTCCAATGCCTGATTACCCTCTCTGTAAAGAACGTCTTCCTAATATCCAACCTAAACCTCCCCTGGCAGAGCTTAAGACCATGTCCTCTTGTCTTACTGATAGCTGCCTGGGAGAAGAGACCAACCCCCACCTGGCTACAACCTCCTTTCAGGTAGTTGTAGAGAGTGATGAGGTCACCCCTGAGCCTTCTCTTCTCCAGGCTAAACAACCCCAGCTCCCTCAGCTTCTCCTCATAGAACTCGTGCTTGAGTCCCTTCACCAGCCTGGTTGCTCTTCTCTGGACCTGCTCCAGCACCTCAATATCCTTCCTGAACTGAGGGGCCCAGAATTGGACACAGTACTCCAGGTGTGGCCTCACCAGTGCTGAGTACAGGGGAAGAATCACTTCCCTGGACCTGTTGTCCACACTATTCCTGATACAGGCCAGGATGCCCTTGGCCACCTGGGCACACTGCTGGCTCATGTTCAGCTTTCTGTCAATCCAAACTCCAAGGTCCTTTTCTGCCTGGCTACTCTCTAGCCATTCTGTGCCCAGTCTGTAGCGCTGCATTTAATGCAATGAAAGTTTTGAAACTGACAACAGAAGGCTAGCCTGAAATATCAATATTATCTAGAGATCCAGTCCAGGATTTGGCTGCAATAGCACCAAATTTTGGTGGTCATTGTCTCAAGAACATCAGGGGTTAATAAGCTCTAGCTTCTTGATAGCTTTGGAAGTACCTATGCACATTTAAATTGTATAACTGCACTTGGAACCTGGTTATCCCCTAAAGGGGGATGACCAAGGAGCTCAACCTCCCCACAGAATTACACCAAAGAAAAAATACTGTAAGAAGAGTAAAAAAACACAAGGTTTTTGTCTTCTGACATTATAACCTGCAGCTAAGAAAAAAATATCCTGCCTTTAAGTTCACCCCAAAACTCCACCACTTAGAAAAAAACGAACAATAACTTATGAAAAATAACCCATTTGTTTACTCATAAATGGGTCTAATCCCCAGTACATCATGACATTTTCAGTAAGTTTCTCATGTCGTCCATGCAGTCCTTAAACAGTCTATCACCCGTTTGGCACTGCTACCCTGAGCCGACCCCCGGGGGCAGTGAGGTCAGCTGTCACCCCCCATTCCTGCAGGCACCGACGAGCTGCGGTGGACTGCGATGGATGCTGAGACGAGATGGCCCACCCTACCAGAATCATATCGAGGACGAGACACATACCTCCCTACTCCTCAAACAGGCTGACTAGAGACCAAGCCCCTTCCCTCACACCCTACCCTCAGCCGAGCCACCCCACACACGTATTTGAGGCAGGGGCGGTGCCAAACGAGCGGGCAGAACTAGCAGGGCAGTCCACCTCCCATCACCCGAGTTGTGGGTGGAAAGGGAGAATACACCTGCTCTCTGCGAACAACCCCCAAAAAACCCGCGCAACTCCACAGCCAATTGGAGGCGTAGCGCCCCGCTCGGCTTTAAGCATCGCAGGAACACTACCCCGCCTCCTCTGGTGCTAGGGAACAAGCAGAAGGCGGGGTTTTCGCAGACGCCATTTTTTCCAAAAAAACCCTGAGGTCGCTCTCGTTCTCCTTTACTACCTTCCATTGTCTCCACTGTTCTTGTAGCTCTTCTCGTGGCTCCTGTCGGGCAGGTAAAACAAACAAACAAACAACCCAGGCACACTGCAGCGGTGTAGGATGGATGATACTCCTCTCCTCGTGATGCTCAGGCCCGTCTCGCTGTAGTCCACACGGAGGGCGGGGCGAGCTAGAGGCCATCCTTGCCCTGACGGGCAGCTGCCTTACCCAACGGGGCCGCAGTGGGCCTCCACGGGGGAGAGGAGGAGGACGTGGTTGGGCCAGTCGTCTGGCGGTGCTGGTGGATTTGTGTGTTGGTAGTAGGAGCTGCTCACCTTTTTCTCTCGTACGTGGTGGGTGTAGGTAAGCGCTGTTCAGAGGAGGTGTTGCTTGCGCTGGGGGTGGGGTAGGGGGGGATGGGTTAAGCTGGGCTGAAGGAAGTGAAGCTGTTGATCGTGCCCCTCTCGGCCCTGCTGTGTGACACGTAAAAGCGGGAGGCCTGGGTCGCCATTGGGCTCCAGGATTTTTGTGGACTTTCGCAGGGACAGTGTTCTTCCCCGCTGGCGGGGCTGCGGAATTTGGTAGGTCCAGGGACTGCTGCGTGGAGAAAGAGGGGGCCGGGAGCGACTCCTCCTTAGCTACTGTGGAGTGGTTTGGCGCAACCTGCGGACCCAAGGAGCCACATCTATTCTAAGGGAAGGGCGAAAAGGATGATCTGTGTCTCTGCCAGCAGCCGTCGCGCCTTGGCGGCCTTAGTGTGAGCACGGCGGCCCAACCGGTTGCGGCTCCCGGAGTGGCGATGTGGTGGAGGCAGATTGCACTGGCGGTCGCCGCCGCATTCTAGTGCCCCCCTTGAATAACTGTGGATGGGGTGGTGAGATTTGAGGAATTATGGTGGGCAGAGAGGAAGAAGAGTGAGGGCGCTCTCTGCTGTGGCCTGTGCGGAAGCAGCCGTTCCAAAACGATTGGGGAGCTCTCTGCAGCAGGGCCTGCTTTTAGGGGCGACCGTAGTTCTCGTGGCGGGGCTTTTGCGTTCTATTGGCTCTGCTTGAGCTCGGGTGAGTGCCTCCTTTGTGTCTCCCCAGTCGGAATGGGGGAAACCTTGTGACCGCGTGGTGGTAGTTTTTCGGCTCACGGCTCCGCCTAGCAATGGGTAGGCGCCATTACAGCAGCCGCCATTTCTGCTGGTCCTCCTCACCGCGGAGGTGGGTCTCGGACTGCGGGGGTTATATAACGGCGTCTTTCCCTGTCCCACCTAGGGAAGGACCTGTGATTTTGAGTGCTCGGCGGCTGGCTGGTTTTAGAGGCTGTGCGAGGGGTAAAGGTGAACGTCATCCCAAGCACTGGTGGCGCGTGGGCTGCGGAAGGGGAGACGTCCGGGCGGGAAGGACCATTTGTTCCGGAGGGAGTGAGGTAGAGACGCGCCGGCATCTCCTTGCCCTCTTATTCGTGTCCGTGACTGCTTTATCCTTTCGATGTTTTCAAAACATTGCGTGAGCTAATTTAATCCCCCAAACTCGTTTTACACAACAGAGCATAATAACTAGTTGAGAGCATCTTGTCCTGAAAAGTATATTACACTTCTTCTCCCCGCAGCTCTAGAACCTTTGGGAGGGTCGTAAACAGAATAGAGTCTGGAAGGGTTAGCCATTCGAACCTGGTGAAATTTCTCTTCCTGCCCCCATCCCCGCGTTCTAGCAGCGTCTGTTTTGAGACTTGGCTATTCTTCAGGCAATGCTTTTCTATTAGGGGCTTGGATATACTGGCATATGATGGGAAGGCGGTCTCTCGACAGCAACTGTAAAAGAATGCATGCCTACCTGGCAAGTGCATGCTGTTAGCCTGCAAAAACAGGGTAACTTACGAATTAACAGATGATTGAAATTATGTTTTAAAAATTTTAACGTACCTCACTTTTTCTTCCTGGATACATGCATCAACTGTTTGTTCAGGCTATGAAAGTTAAGCAATAAAATCCAAGGAGGGGAAATAGCGTTCTTTGTTTGACTGTTATCTGTACAAATTAATTTTTTAAGATAATAAGGTGCAAAATTGTTCTGCCTGGACTTCTAATTTGTTTTACAAGTATTCTCACGTGGGCTTTGCAAAAATAGATCTTGAAAGAGGTACCTGTTTCACAAGGTCAAAAAGGTTGCTTTTGACATTATTCATGTATGTATGCAGAGGTTATACATTACAGCATGCTATTTTTAACAGAATTTTTCAAGTGTGGTTTGTGTGTAATTTTTTGTTCATCTGTTTTATTGAATGGAAGGCATGCTAGGAAGTTGATAGAAAACTTATTATGATCACCAGCATTAATAACTTTTTAGTCTAAATTGTTTAGTCTAAATTTAGAACTAGCAATTAGCAGATTGAAACATAGGGTTTCTTAAAAAGGAAATTCAAGGTATACATCCTAAAAGTAGGAACCAGATAATTATTCACGTTAAATATCTGAAAATCAGTATCAGTTAATGTGATTGCTTAAAACTAGCAAATGCTTGAAAAATGAGCAAGTTTGGAATAATTCAGAGTGTAATTGTGCGTCTGTAAGCTTTTGTACTTGATTATTATTTCTCATTGATGTGTTTGGCCTTGTTTTCTCATTTATAAAGAAAAGCTTTGCAGCAAAATCTCAGGTCAAAGCCTCGTTTTTAGTTGTAGCAAGAATCATACCTGTAAGTGAACAGAGCCTGATCTATGCTGTTTTCATAGGCTTCTGAAGCAGTAGGGTTTTGATCCCAACCAGAACACTTGAGTTTTGCTCTGCAAGTGTATATAAAACTGGTAAGTTCTAAAAGCAGGCATCTCTTTTTGCTTTTCCCAGTAGTATGATGTAGCTTCTTTCCCCCACAAAATAATGTATTAGTTCTTTTTTTATTCTGCAACAGGTTTCATCTTCACTCCTAAGAATAAGAGGTAATGGAGACTGAACAACAGGAAGAGACCTTTACCAACACAGAGACAAATGGTAAGTTTTATAAAGGGCTATTTTATTTTAGGGAGATTCATTTTTTTGAGTCTTGGTATTTTTAACTATTTTGGAATGCTTTAACTGTATCATGTTTCCTTTAATCTTTTAATTTTTAAATGTCCTGTCTGGTTTTATGTGATTTTTGTATCATGAACAAATAATTTTTCTGTGGGAGTATTTTAGACATAGTTTAAGTATCTAAAAGTTATAAGTAAGAGATTTGAAAATATTTGATATCTAAATGCTCAGTACTTGTATGGAAAATGTGATCATGTAAAAATACTCTCAGACATATCTATTACTGCATTTTATTTATTGCAGTTATTACTTTGAAGGAATGTGTGTAGATATATATATATGAAATATCTCTAAATATTAGCTAAATGAAAAACCTTTTGGACATAATTAGTGAAGAAGACTTAGAGCATTAGTATTGAGTTGACTCAGGCCAGTTTTTCTAAGTGATTTGAAATACTGCTTTCCTACTGTTTCACCAGTATTTCAGTATTGGACAAACTACTTTTGATCTTATGGACTTTAAGGTTTTCCCAGTTGTAAAAGAAATACTAAGTAGGTGATGCAGCACTGTTGTAAACAACGTTGTAATTTTATTCACTAAGTTTGAAAAATTCTTATTCCGACTGTAGTTCATAGATTTGAATGACTCTTCAATAATTAATTGATATGTAGAGTGATGTTTCTGTGCTATACTCAGGGTAGATGTCAGAAGTTAGCACTGGGCTAATAGGAGGGAATGCTTCACTAGGAAGACAGTGCATAGCTTGATATACAGTTTTATCATGACTTAATAAATTAAATATATATTGTGTTTTCCCCCCTATGGACCTGTCTACAGGCAAACGTCCTGCAGAAGATATTGAAGAAGAACAGGCCTTCAAAAGATCTCGGAATACAGATGAGATGGTTGAATTGCGCATCTTGCTTCAAAGCAAAGTATACTTTTTTAGTATCACTTTGTTCCTGCTTATACCATTGCTTAAGACCATGGTAGCAGTGTATGTTGTGATGCATGTTTAGAAAGAACGTGTGCCTTATTTAAATTAACTTATTTGGAATATTTGTAAGCATGATAGTAGAAGTGTATTGCAATGGTATTACCTTCAATAATTTTTTTCAAGGATGAGTATTATGATCTATGGGACTTCTCTGATTTAAAAAAAAATGTATTAATTGAAAAAATAAATAAAAAATTATAAGCCCATTCTCATGTTTAGGTAGAACGTAATTGTTTCTAGGGGACCGTCTTTAGAAAGTAAGCAGTTTAAAGAATGATCAACTTATGACTGTAAATTAAATATCAGAGGCAAGATGAGGACTTCCTCAAGCTTTTGGTAATTTTCCCAGATTTGGTAAATCTATATGTATCAACAGGAGGAAATAAGGGAATAATGTTTCATGGATTGCAATTGCTTCATTAACTAGTATAGATTGTCACAGTAAAATTGCTATTTATGAATCTCCTTTAGTGTTTCCAGTTGTTGCAGATGTTTGTGCTGTCTGAAGTAACTCAGTCTTTTGTGTCGGAGTAGGGGAATGTTACCTTAGCTCTACATGGCATTTCTGATGAATAGTCAAGTTATGTGGAGTGCCGCAAAATATTTGTGGTGCTGTTAGCATCATATATGAACTGCATAATAAAAACAATAATTTTGCATGTAGTTCTTGAAATAGCCTGGCAAGAAATTAGTTTTACAATTGCCCCTCTTGAATATCTGAGTTTATTCCCGTTGATTTTAGCAACTGGAGAGTAGTGATTGTTTATATTGACTTTACATTCTTCAGACCGTACCTACTTGAGTGGTCAATTGAGTCACATATGCTTCAATCAAAAGCAGCATTTGTAATTATCAAATGTTTGAAGTGGGAAAGTGAAATCTGCAAACATTAAAAAAAAAGTGATCAAATAAATTGACAAAATCCTTGATCTACATAAAATGCATGAAATCCCATAAGATATTTTTTCAGTCATACTCTAACTATGAGATGGTTGGGGCCCTAGGCAACCTGATCTAGCGAGTGGCATCCCTGCCCATGGCAGGGGGGTTGGAACTAGATGATCTTTAGGGTCCCTTCCAACCGAAACCATTCTATGTTAAACATGACAGATACCAGAATAGACCTCTGTGGTACCCCACTTCTTACCAACCTTCAGGTACAGTAAGATCCAGTAACTATTACCAATCATCCAACCAGTTTTTTATTCATATGCTTGTCCAACTATGATTCTATGAGAATACAGGCAGAATTGCCTAGAAACTTAAAATTGAAAATATCTTGCTGAGTATTTTTATGTCTTTCCAAAGTTTAATGGTAAGAGCTGTATTTACTTTTTTTTTCCCCCATGGTAAAACCCTGTCAGTTTATGTTTTGATTTAATTTGAACCTTTCAAAAGCAAAACAAGCCCCACCCCACCCCTAAATGCATCCCACAAGGTAATGCAAAAATAAATACATTGTTCTTAGTCTTTGGTTCAAAAATGTAGTCCCTGTGCTGTATTAGCATAACATAGCTTCTGAAAACTATTTTCCAGAATGCTGGAGCAGTGATTGGAAAAGGTGGCAAAAATATCAAGGCACTTCGTACAGATGTGAGTATACATGGATTTGAATTACTTTACAACAACTCTTTCAGAGCATTGCATGGAAAACTTGATTGCTTACATTTCTGGAAATTAAGAAATTCAAACCTAGACAACAATAATCTAATTATAAACCATTTATTATTGTTAAAGGAGATAGCTTTAATTTTTAAATTTGTGTTTTAATTAAAGCCCAGCTCAAGTTATGTGGGAGGAGAGGTTTATATGAAATCTCTTTGCTTTCAAACAGGGTTCCTTTCAATTACACACTTAAAGTAACATCTTTATTAGAAATATTGGCAAAGCTTAAAACTCATAACTATAACATTTCCCATATATGTCAATCAATTATAGTGCTATTGAAAACTATTGCTGGTGGCTGGCTTAACCCAGTGATAAAAGAATTCTTTAACTTCCTTAAAAAAAAAACCAAAACATAATGATTCATTTGGGTTTACTTTAGCAGTGTGGACATAAAGCACAAAAACATTCATGTTAAGGTTTCATGACTTAAATACAGGTATAGAACAGTAAAGAAACATTCCACTTGGAAGCATTTTTAAGTGATTATGGCTTATTTACCTATTCATATTTTATATGGGTTGACTCTTGTGATTAGACATATGTTCAGTGTAAATGTTATGTATTTATAAAACTTGGCAATGCTTCTTAAATTCCATTTGTTTCCACTCAGCCTTGGCTACAATTATGGCAATTTTTTTCAAGTAAGACTGTGTTCAACACAATATTTGCTAATATATCATCACAGGATCAGTTCCATCTAAGTTCACAACCTTTAGCAACCAGAATTGAGGATTAAGCTGAAATGGTCAGGAATCATACATACACTCACTAACTTTGGCAGCTAGGGGTTTTTTTTTTTTGTTTAAGTAAATAAACACATCACCTTAGTTCAGATAATTTAACTAGTCTGGAATACTAACTTTCCCAACTTGCCCAAGGTTTCAGTAATATGGATCTCAACAGTTTTTGTGCCTATGTTTATGAGATGGCCTGCTACTGAAACGTCATGTTGGAAGTAAAATGTAGTTTAGTCAGATAACTCATGAAGATCCATACTGTTAAGCCACAGTCAATGTAGCAATCCATTATTGTGTTAGTCTTCAGAACAACTTAAACTTACTTCATTAACTGACAGTAATAAGTATAGTTTGTATTAAATTAAAATTTATTGCTTTTCCCCCTTTTCCCTCTCCTTGTTTTTTTGGCCATATATCTCCGTTACCCATGTACTGGATCGACTTACCCCTGCGTTGCCCACCATGACGTTGGCCCATCCGCCCCTGAACGCCCATGTGAAAACCCTGGTTGGCTATGCCCAAAAATGTGCTCGTTGCCAAACGGGTACCATACTTGACAACTTCTGATTGAATGCCCATGCCCAATGCCAACATCCACGAACGCCAATGACCAATGCAGTACAATGCAAGTGTTTCAGTCCCAGACAGCAGTGGCCCCGAGCGGTATGTCCCAACAGTTTATGCCTCACTGCCTAATTAGAAAGAGAAAAATGTATTTTATTACCTGCCTTTGATATAATTAAATAGCATCCCCTTATAGACCGTGTATTGTTTTTTTCAAGTTTTCTGTCTTATTTTCCCCATTAAGTCTTTTTGTCACTGAACTTCTACGTGAGTTGACCACCCAAACAATCCACTAATTTTATTTCAATGGAAAAAGCACAGCTTCAAGTGTTGTATATTCACTGCATTATAAATCAAACTGTTTCAAGAGTCTCTTGCTCTGGTCTTTGTGGCCCACCTTTCTCCCCCCAGCATTCTTTGTTCATAATTATTTCTGATGAAATACTAACTCTAGTTCACTTCTCATTTGTGTTACATTTTTTTTGTTTGTGGGGTTGTTTTTTTGGTTTTTTTTCCCTTGTATCTATATTCCATTTTTTGCAGAGCCCATTAGTAATCTAATTTCTAGCTGGTGTCTCAACCTTACTGCAGATATAATGTTGACCACTTACATATCCCCACTTTTTCTACTGAAAGGTGTGCTAGTTTTACCGATGTAATGGCAAGGGTATACTAAATTAGCAGTGGTGGGGAAAGTGAATATTCACTCATACTTGCAGTTCTGCATCGATTTCTTGCCTGCTTAATCTGTCTGAGCCCTTCCAAAAGCTTTCCTGTGCTCTCTCATTCTCTCTGCAAGACCTATATAGCCTTAAATTCATCATGCATATCTATTGAACATAAACGAAGATGCATGTGTTGTAAATCCAGTGAACAGGTTTACTTTAAGTGGGGAATATTAATTGTAAGTTCTTCTGTGTAGTCAATCTTGTTAGAATTTTTTATATGATTATGAATACTAAACTTATTTCTGCTACTTTCCACCTTCTCCATGTTTTCTGACACTATGGCCTCTAACAGTATCTTGAGTATAAGTGCAGATACAGAGACAATTGGAGAAATCTTGAAGAAGATTATCCCTACTTTAGAAGAGGTATGTCTCTTAGGTTTGTATCTTTTTCAGAGGTATAAATTTAGATTTTAAACCAAGAAATTTCTAGATGATTGTGTGCTATTTGTAGTATGGTAATTTAGAAAATAAAACCCAGCCTTTTTTGAAAGAAGGCCTATAGCGCTCAATGTATGTCTTGGCTTTTTTTTTTTTTTTGTAGCGAACAGAGACAATTTCTTCTTAGAAAGTTAATATTTGGAATAGCTTCCTCCCCTTCAAAACACCTGTTTCCTAACTTGTTTAGTTCCCAATTTGAAGTAGCTCTATTGTAATTTCCATTCTGCCTTTGCTTTGTAATCAAGTGTGTTGCACTGCTGGATATATTAAAATTTTATACAACGACAATAATAGTAAAAGAAATAAGGAAAACTAATTTGACGTCACCTCGTGTTGAGGCAAAGTACTTAAAGATATGTGATTTTTATTGTAGCAAATACAGTATTACAGTTCAGCAGTAAATTAAGTCATACGATGCTGTTTGAAGAAAAATCTTAATGAAGAAAACCAAAATTAACATTTTGATTTTTCAATTATTTTTTCCCCTGACTAATATTTTATTCTTGTATGCATCTTACAGTATCAGCACTACAAAGGTAACGACTTTGACTGTGAATTAAGACTTCTAATTCACCAAAGTCTAGCAGGAGGAATTATTGGTGTTAAGGGGGCTAAAATCAAAGAACTCAGAGAGGTACTGTTTCCTATTCTTTCCTGATTCTACTTTTATTCTATTAAAAAAAATTAGTTTTTTGTGTTCATAAGCAGTGAGTGTAAGCATCATCTGTGACTTATGATCCTTCAGAACATATTTCATACATGAAGTGGCTGTTGGTGATAGAGCCTAGAACGTCTTATAAAGCTTTTAAGCATATTAATGGTAATCTTTAAAAATAAAAGATACTTTTTAAAATTAAAATGCCATTCATCACTCCTTCTGGAATGAACTACTGAATAGACTGTTGGTGGTGTTGGACATGGAAAATGGTTTGGCGTGGATGCATCTCCATAAACTCTTAATGATAATTTAATAGATGTTTGAATATTGCTATAAAAAGGTAGTGTTGGGCGGGTTTCTCTTGGGGATTTCTTGGTTTGTTTAGTTTTGCATTTGTTGGGGTTTTTTTTAAGTTCCACTTCCTTTGAAGACCACTGTTTCCTTTGTGAAGGAATGAGGTTTTGTTTTAAGAAGCTAGTGGTCTCAATCTATAGTGTTTTTTTCTATCCTTTCCTCATATTGTGTCAAAAGCAATTCCAGGTCAGTTTAGGCATAAGCTGCTATTTGTGTGGACTGAGGGGAAGGCAAGATGATTAGACATAATCCTGGTAACATTGCTGTCTTAGATCCAAAGAATGTTATGACATATGAAGGTTTATATAACCTGTAAGCTTACAATGAATATGTGGTCCTTTTGCTCATATTTGATGACCATGTAGATGAGCCATAATTGAAAGATTTCAAAAATTTTTCCTTTTCACTAGCATTTCATACAAACTGATGTCATTGCAGGTCTTAAAAATATAATATCCTAAGATTAAATTTGTTGTAAGAACTTAGAACCCAAGCGTTCACTTAAAATTACTAGAAGTTTAATGATTTTGTTTGATCATTTCTTTTAAAATGTTTCGGTATCTGTCTTACCTATTTTGTTTTCAATAAGTTTATAAAATTGTTTAAAATACTTCTATTTGAAGATTTTGGGGGTTGTTTATCTTCTCTTCGACAGAACACTCAAACCACCATTAAGCTCTTTCAAGAATGTTGTCCTCATTCCACTGATAGAGTGGTGCTTATTGGTGGAAAACCTGATAGAGTTGTGGAGTGTATCAAGATTATCTTGGATCTTATCTCTGAGGTAATGGGTCTTAAAGTTATTCTTTTACTGGTATGCATGAAAGTCAGGATGATTTGGCTGGAAAATTAAATCTTTCCATTTCTATTTTGAATTCAGTGCCTCTTCTTCAGTAACAAAATAAGCATTGGACTGTTAGTACCCTTTGAAATTATTCCTGTTTGCTAGAATTGGAGTGTACCTTATTGGAGAGAGAAGACATTTTTGGTTCTAAGGGACTTAGTCAATGCTTTACAAATCAGTAAAATAAAATTTAAACTGGGGAGAAATTGAGACAAAGTTACGTGACACCCATCAATAACAGCGGTTTCTCTATCATAGTTAAACTCTCAGGAACCATATCACCATCCCTGCCTTGCTTACCAGCATTGTGAAATAAAGAACATGCTCAGCATGTATAAATTCATATTTATACGTTTAATATATTAATTTAATGAAATATAATATTTTTGTTTTGTGTGTGTGTGTGTGTCTCAGTCTCCAATTAAAGGACGGGCCCAGCCTTACGATCCCAATTTCTATGATGAAACGTATGACTATGGTGGCTTCACAATGATGTTTGATGATAGAAGGGGACGTCCAGTAGGCTTTCCAATGCGTGGAAGGGGAGGCTTTGATCGAATGCCTCCTGGTCGTGGCGGACGACCTATGCCTCCATCAAGAAGAGATTATGATGATATGAGCCCTCGCAGAGGACCTCCACCACCTCCCCCAGGTCGTGGTGGCAGAGGTGGCAGCAGAGCTCGTAATCTTCCTCTTCCTCCTCCACCACCCCCTCGTGGCGGGTAAGCTGTTGCATAAATGCATTGTACAAAACTCAAGCTGAGTAACATTTACTGAATTGTGCTCATGTTTCCAGGACTTGTTTCACACTCCATGTTGGTAGTGATTATGCAGGATTGAGTGTGCATTGCACCAGAAAATTTTTAAAAATATTTGATTTAAGTTATTTCTGCAGTATTTTCAGGACTAGTAGTTCTGTAACTTTATTTTATGTCGTTCAGAACTAGGCTTAAGCATTCAGAAATTAATAATTGTGTGCAAATCATTAAAACTTGAATTAAAATATATAAACTAGTTTATAACATGAGTCATGTGCTGCTGCTTTTTCTCATTTTAGAGATCTTATGTCTTATGATCGAAGAGGTAGACCTGGAGACCGTTATGATGGAATGGTAGGAGTTAAAATTCATTTTGTTTAGTAATTACAGTTAGCACTCTGAGTATCTGAGGAAACTGTTCTTGAATACATACTTTTAAGTGTGGGGCATGTGTGCTTCTGATAAACTTTGATATCACCAAAATGTTTTGGCCATACAAATGGTCTCCCCAAGAATACGACTGGGGTGTAAAGAGTATTTGGGATGTGATCATCTGTGTGGTTTTGCTTTGTGGAATTTTTGTTTTTGGTTGGTTGTTTCTCCCACCTACCATCAACAATGGAATAGAAAGTTGGGAGAGCACAGTCCCTTCAGGTTTTATTACCCAGACCTTCTTTTAGACTGTTTCTTTTTAATCATGGTGACAGAAATTAGAATTGGGAGGCTTTTCAAATTGAGAAAACATCTGTTGGAAAACACTGTTCTGACATGCTAGCAGAATTTGAGAACATGAATAATATCTTTAAAGAGCTCTAGTTGGTCTGGCAGATGATTGCTTTTTCAGTTCTTGTCTTTATGCCAATCTCTGTCTGCAAAAAAATCTGTAATTTCAAATGTTTTGGAGCCAGGATCACTTATAAGTTGAATTTTAAATGAAATTAGGTACATTTCAACCATGTTGGGAGATGGGGAGAATTAAAAAAGGCTTAAAGATTACTCTTCCATGTTGTACTCTGAAATGTGACTTCCTGATATTGTATCCTCTTTCCTGGGAAGAGAAATCATAGGTATCTGGGAGGTAAACCTCTGGTTAACAATCTTTTTTTTTTTTTTTTTCTTTTTCCCTCCTCTGATTCTGTTTGGCCTCTTCCTGAAGATGACAGATTAGATGAGATTATTTTATTTTCAATTAATGGAAGAGAAAGGAGAGGAGCTATGAAATGGGCTACCTAAATGAGATTTACACATTGCCATCTCCTGGGAGGAAGAGGCAATTACTTCCAGTAACATACTGGAAGCACATATTAAACGAATGTCGAAATTGAGGCACCTGAAGCCTAGCAAGAAATATTGAAAAGAAAGACTTGCACTTAAAATTACCAAAACCAGACACCTCTCCCCCCCCAAAAAAAAGTAAACAAACCCTCAACAAATCGAAAACCCCCCACAACATAAAACCAGCAAGTTGTCTATGCTACTCAGGATCTTAAGAAACTAGGAGTCATGAACCAGACCTCTAAGATCACTTATTCATATTTTCATGTTTTCAAAGCTCAGATTTTGTGTTTTCATATTTGCAGCTGGTAAAACCAATGTTAGGGCATGTAAACAGAGCAGTCTGCCCTTCCTTGGATATGTAGTTGAGCACAGTCTTCAGCTTGGACAATAGTGTGTTCTAGTTCTGTTCCATTTCATTTAGAATAGAAAAATCTATTCAAACTCTATTTAGTCTGACTTTGATCAGGCTGACCTTGGCTTTCTTGACATGACTTTCTACAAATAAATGGGAGTCACTTCTGCTCTTTTTCCATGTTCTGAAAAGCAATTCTATTTTCTCTTCACAGTAGAGCTGCTCATGGCTTTGGCTGTTTTATGCATGAGTTTTATAGCCTGCCTACAATGAGGACTGCTTTCTGACACAGATCATATTTAATTTTTAGTTTTAGTTAACCATAGTCCCAGTATCCTTAAATGTATAAACACATGAGAAGTCTTTCCATGGACTGTGAGGCTAAAGCTGGAAGTGTCATGCCAGAAATATAAAGTCTTGAGCTACTATGTATTTCATGTAGAAACCATTCTCTAGCAAAACATTTAAATTAAAGTAAACCAACATCATTGTCATTTGTGAAGTAATGCATGGGAAAAGCTACTTTCAGAGAGCAGGACTGCCATTTTACATAAATGCATTAAAAGGCAAGAATAGAGTCTCTTTCAGATCAACATCTTGGAAATATTATATCTACAGAAATCCTCATTTTCTGCCAGTTCTCTAAAGGTGGAAAAGTTCAGTAGTTCAAGACTTGTAAGATGGTGAACCGAGACTGGATGGTGAAACTTGATTTTTCTGAGATGTAACAATACTGACAGCCTTGTAAATTTAAAGATGGGAGGAAAAAATAATTGTGTGCATATATATGTATATATATAAACTATTGCATTTTACTGAAAGACATACGTGCATTGTTTCTCTTATTTGCAGAAGTATATATTTTAGGCTGTAAGTACTCCAAATCAAATGCCTATGGACCATAACAACTATTCTGATAGCTCAGAAAACATGAATACATTTCCGCTATTTCTTTTTTAACACCCTCATCCCCATGGATGCTTCAGATATACAAATGCACAAAATCATACCAGGGGAAAAAATAAGGTGGAGAAGTACATATAAAGCTATTTAATACCCCTCTCCCCCTTTTTTTTGTTTTAATGGTTGATTCCTAATGCTTTCAAAGTATTTTCTAATTGGAGTTAATTGAGAGCTCAATCATAATGTCTGTTGTGTCATGTATGTTCAGATCTCTAATCTGGTTTTCCTCATTTAAATGATTCCTTCTACTTAATCATTATATATATACGTGCATATACACGTCTGTATTAGCACTTCAATAAAAGTACATACCCTAAAAAAATATTAAACATACTTCATGTTTAAAGAGATTTGATGTTAAGGAGCATGTAAAAAAACCCCAAACCACCACCCAAACAAACAAAAACAACAACAAAAAAACCCAACAGTGAAGGAAAGGTGTTTGACACATTTACCTACATAAATACTAAAATTAGCAAAATTTCAAATTTCATTCTTCTGGGCCAAGAAATTTGCCATCAGTTAGGATTGCATGCATATTTTTCAATTGCACGTAAAAGGCAATAAATTCTTATTAATACTAATCACTTTGTTTTATCCAGTTAGTGTTTCATTTGGTTTTGAGTTCATTTCCATTGATTATCAGTCGCACAAATGAGTCTGTAGAGAAGAAAATTGTTACATATCTTAAGTTGTCCTGCACTTAGTATTTTAGGAACTGTTTTTAAATGAGCATTTATATTTTCATAGAATCATAGAATATCCTGAGTTGGAAGGAACCCACAAGGATCATTGAGTCTAACCCCAAAAATCACACTATGTGTCTGAGAGCCTTGTTCAAACACTTCATGAACTCTGGCAGGCTTGGGGCTGTGACCACTTCCTTGGGTTATAGTGCCCAACTACCCTCTGGGTGAAGAACCTTTTCCTAGTATCCAACCTAAACCTCCCCGACACAGCTTCATGCTGTTTCCTCGGGTCCTATCACTGGTTGCCAGAGAGAAGAGATCAGTGCCTGCCCCTCTGCTTCCTCTTGTGAGGAAGCTGTAGACTGCTATGAGGTTTCCCTTCAGTCTCCTCCAGTTACCTCAGCCATTGCTTGTATGACTCCCCCTCTAGGCCCTTCACCATCTTCGTGACCCTCTGTTGGACACTTTCTAATAGTTTTATATCCTTCTTGTATTATGGTGCCCAAAACTGCACACAGGACTTGGAGTGAGGCCATGCTGACACACAGTTGAGCAGGACAATCACCTCCCTTGACCAGCTGGCAATGCTGTGCTTGATGCATCCCAGAATATGGTCTGCCCTTTTGGCTGCCAGGGACAACTGTTGACTCATATTCAACTTGCCATTGACCAGGACCCCCAGATCTTTGTGATGCTGCTCTCCAGCCTCTTGTATGTTCATCCAGGGTTGCCCCATTCCAGGTGCAGAATCCGACACTTGTCCTTGTTAAACTTCATACAGTTGGTGATTGCCCAGCCCTCTAATTTGTCGAGATCTCTCTGCAGAGCCTCTCTGCTTTTGAAGGAGTCAACGGTTCCTCCCAATTTAGTATCAACAACAAACTTACTTAGTATCCTAATGTCGTGGGTTTGTTCTGGGCCAATTTCCTCTCACCCCCCACACAATTGCTATAAGTTGAGAGAAGGTTTATGCAGACAAAAGAGATCTGATTTGGGGAGGATAATAGGATTTATTACTAGTAAGATAAAAACTAAAGAACTATATATATACTACAACTCTAATTAGGCAAAAATGCTATGTATTTACAAAAATACCCCTCCCCCCTTTGTAACAGTTCAGGAGGAGAAGCAGTCTCTTTCTCCATTTCTGGAGCTCCAGGTCTTTTAAATAATTTTGTGGCACTCGAAAGTTCTTCTTCTGTTATCTCTAGGGCGACAACTCCAATTCCTTGCAACTGGAACTGTTTCTCTTTCTCTCTCTCTTCTATGTCGGCCTCAGGGCTGGGCCTGCCCCCTCCTGGGCTAAGACTGGAGGCTGGGGGTTACCCAGGCCCTGTGGAGTCTTCCATGGACTGCAGGGGGACACTTGTCTACCATGGATCTTCACCACAGGATCACAAGGGATAATGGCTTTTGAGTCCACTCCTGTTTCCTGTGGAGTCTCGCCTCACGAGAGAAGTCTTTGATGGACCTCTCTAGCATGAGTCACCTTTCGGGCAACAGTTCTTCCATTCTCTGTTGTCTCTCAGGGTCACAAATTCAGCTGCACTAGCATGGATCCCTCACTGAGATCACAAAATCCTACCTGGGCCATCTCATTCCAGCATAGGTCTCTCTCTCCATGGGCCACAGGTCTCCAACAGGACTCTCTTTCATTCTAGGCTTTCCCATGGAGTCACATCTTCTTCATGCACTCCTCTGCTCCAGCGCGGGCTCCTTCATGAACTGCAGAGGGTCCCTGCTCTCCAACAATCTTCTGCAAGTGGCAGGGATTTTTACTTTTCAGTCTCTTCCCTGCTGAAGGGAGAGAGAGAGAGAGAGTTGGAGGGGGTGTGAAGGAGTTCCCCTTCCCTTTGTGGCTTTTCTCCTCTCACTCCTGCGGCTGCCAGCTTTGACCTTGGAGGCCCATTATCTCTGCCCAGAATTTCTTCTGCAGTATGTCTTGTCCAGGCAGTCTTTCTCTGAAGTTTTTTTTTTCTCTACTCTGTTATAGGAGAGAAGGGGGCCTGGCCCCCCTTGCCCAGGCCAGACTTGGCCTGGGGGGAGAAGGGGCGCACGCCCAGACCCAACAGGGCTGGCTGCTATGCTGGCTCTTCCATTTTTCTTCTGTGCAACAACCTTCTCTTCTGTTTTCTTAAATATGCAATTGGCAGAGGCATTACTAAAACTTTTGATTGAAATTTTGTCCAGAAATCCACCGGGGGGGGGGGGGGAATGGTCAGCAAACCCATGACGCCTTTCTAGTCCTGTGTACATTTATGAATATGTTAAAGAGAACTGACCCTAAAATGGAGCCCTGCAGAACCTTACTAGTGACAGGTTGCCAGTCTGATATCACCCCATTCACTATTACACTCTGTGCTCAACCTGTGAGCCAGTTGCTCACCCACCACATGATGTGTTTATCCAGCTGTGGGCTGGACATTTTGTCCAGAAGGATCCTGTGAGAGACAATATTGAAAACTCTACTGAAATCCAAAAAGATTACATCAACTGGCTTCCCTTGATCAACTAGGTGGGGAACCTTGTCATAAAAGGAAATCAAGTTTGTCAAGCTGGACCTTCCCCTCATGAAGCCGTGCTGGCTTTGACCAATGACTGCAATGCAGTCATTGTCTGTCAGGTGTTTTTCAATAACTCCAGAATAATCTTTTCTGTAATTTTACCAGGCACTCAAGTGAGACTGACAGGCCTGTAGTTCCCAGGGTTCTCCTTCTTGCTCTTCTTGAAAATTGGGACAGTGTTTGCCAGTTGCCAGTCAACTTGGACCTCTCCAGATTCCCAAGATCATTCAAAAATCATTGAGAGAGGTCTTGTCATGACATCAGCCAGCTCTTGGAGTACTCTTGGATGAATCTCATCAGGCCCCATAGATTTATAGGGATCCAGCTGGAACAGCATATCCTGCACAACTTCAGGGTCAACTGGGAGTTTATCATTCTCACAGTCATCGTCCTCCAGCTCAGGACACTGTGACCCCATTAGCCTGTCATCCAAGTTGAAGACAGAGGCAAAGAAAGCATTAAACAAACACCTCTGCCTTGTCTCTGTCCCTGTTTGTGAGGTGACCATCCTCATCCTGTAACGGGTCAATGTTATTTATGGTCTCCTTTTTGCTATTGACATATTTTAAAAACTCATTTTATTGTCCCCCCACAGTTCTGGCAACTTCAACTGCGGTTGAACTTTGACTGTGTGAATTTTCTCCTTACAGAGGCAAGCAGCATCTCTATATTCCTCTCATGTCACCTGACCTTGCTTCCACTGTGCATTGACTTTCCTTTTTGCCTTAGTTCCAAGAGAAGATCCGTACTCAGCCAAGCTGGCATTTGCCTCGCCTGCTTGAGTTTTGACGTTTGGGAATTACCTCCTCCTGTGCCCTTAGGAGGTGGTGCTTTTCCTTCTGTTACCAGAGATTTTAAACTCAATTGCATTGTGGTCACTGTGGCCGAGACAGCCACCAATCACCACTTACAAGACTCTAGTAACAAGCAACAAATCACAGAAGGCACCTTTCCCAGTTGTCTCTCTTAGTACCTATACCATGAAGTTCTCATCCAGGCGTTTTAGGAATCTTATGGACTTGTTTGTGCCAGCTGTGTGGTATTCCCAGTTAATATCTGGCAAGTTGGAGTCACCCATAAGGACATGGGTGGTTGATTTGAATGTGTCTCTTAGTTCCTTGAAGAATAATTCATCAGTGGTGTTGTCCTTTTCTTAGTGTGCCATTCATGTCATGTTGCACGTTTTAATCCAGCAAAGGCCTTTGCCTTAATAGTAATTCAAGTGGATTCTACAAATTGTATTTTTATAATTCTGCTGGTTTTTTTTCTCCCAACATTTGTTATAGAAGACTGAAGGAAAGAGATGCTATATATCACACTTTAAAAAAAAAAATTGGATTTCCAATATAATTAGGCAGTAGTAGCTGTTAGTTTAGCTGTTGGCTATATAAGGTATACAGAAATTAATTCATAAAATATGAGAAACCATGTCCTTCCTGCTTGACCTGTTGTTGACATAGATATATCAATAACAGTTACTTATTTTACTAAATGCCTTTTCTGTTTTGTTTTTATGCATGAGAGAAATAGAAGGTTTTGGTATCTAACATCTTTTACTATATAGTACAGTTTTAGGACTCAGAGGTAAAAAACCAAACAACAAACTGATCTTTGCTCTCCCCTTAACTGTCTGACATCCTTTGTGTAAGAGGAATATCTGTTTATGCCACAGAAACAAGGGAAAAAGAAGTGTGACCAGTTACAGTTCCCTAGCAGTCAAAGTAAAAGGGAGTGAATCTTATAACTGGTCTATATCGTGTACATTTGAACCTTTGTAGTACTTAAGATAGTGCAGAAAAATGTTGGTATGTATGTGTTTGTTTGCCGAGTTACCTATAAGCCTCTATAACATGGACTTAATATGCATACATTTCCTCTTTTCCTTCCATTATGTTGTCCCTGGAAGATGATGCAGTGTCATGTGGATGCCTGTGATGACATGCAACCACCAGAGTTGGTGAGTGTGCTCATGCTTTTGACTGGTTTAATAGTTTATTCTCGAGGAAAAAAATTTGAATTGGTTAAGTGATAACTGGAATTTCTTGAGATTGAACATAGTTAGCGGCAGCTTGCACCTATTGAAAAATCCCTAAAGCTGTCATTCTAACTCAGGTTATTGGCAGTTTATGTCCTGAACAGTGAATCCTATACAGGAAGTTAATGTTCCACAATGGAAGCATGCATCAGCACAGACAAGATAAGCTTTTCTGTTGTATTGTCTCTTTTGTACCCTATATTACTGTTCTAATTTGTAACTTTCACTGTAACTCTTGCTTTTTCAGCAACCTGTAGGTGCATCTATTTAGGAATAAGTTTTCTCTTAACTTCGTGGGGTTTTTCCCCTGTTTCCAATAAGGAATGTTAAAAATTCTTATAGTTGTGGATAAACTTGTGCATTACCTATCCATATATATTTTAAAGTATTCCATTTGATTTGTGTTTATCAAACTTCTTACTCTTAGGAGGTTTAGGAAGGAAAGTTCAAAGGGTGTCAGCAAGTGTTTATGCTCTCTAGAAGATGGCAAAGTGCCACCAAATATCAAATGTTAGTTCCTAGCTTACATAAACATTGCAGTTCGAATTATTCATCCGCTGTCAAATTCATTTGCTGTCTCGTAGTCTGAGGAGGAGAAGCAACAGAAAGGGTCAAGAAAAGGATTGTTCATTAAAACAAGTTAGCCCTAAAAAGGAATTCCCTGTGCAAAATATCAGCAGAAGTAGGTAGAAGAGTATGTGTGTGGAATATGCAGCTCTGATCAGTCTCTGAATTAAGTTCTAAGCAGTGTTCTTCACTGTTTTGTATTTTGCACTCCACTACAAGCTCTATAATGTTGTATTATGGTCTGTATTGCTAAGCAACATGATTAAACAACACAGGTTGCTTAGAAACAGATGACAGCTGAACAACTTTTTCTGAATAGCTTCCATTTTGATGTGACTAAAAAACTAGCAGGTAAATATTTTTTTTAAAAAAAAGTTACTGCATTACAACTTCTGCAAAAAAGTAGTTCACACAGGTTCCTGCATTTCAGTGATATCAGTTGAATTCTAGAGAAATGTGCACATCTATTCTCTGCTTCTAGAGGAAGATTAAAATGAGTGGTTTTGCATATAGAAGGCATTAAATTAAGCATTTGATATCAAGTACCAGTCTACAAGTCATAGAATCAACCGAGTTGGAAAGGACCTCTGAGATCATTAAGTCCAACCCTTGATCCACTGCCGCTGTGGTTACTAGACCATGGCACTGAGCGCCACATCCAGTCTCATCTTGAACACCTCCAGGGACAGAGAATCCACCACTTCCCTGGGCAGCCCATTCCAATGCCTGATTACTCTAAAAATAAAAGCAGTCAGGAGTGCTGCATTGCAGTGATTTGGATTTGGTATATTATAGTTTAAGCAGAACAGTAGTTATTAGTGTCATGATTGTCCCTTCTAAGATACAAAGGACTGTAGCATAGTCTGAATGGAAAGACAAGTTATTAGAGTTGAATTGGTTTTTCCTTGAGATAATAGACGAAGTAGGAGATTTGACAGTTACCAGGTAAATGTCTTTTCCCTAACTGAAGCTTTCATTTCTCCTGAGCTGTATAGGTAGTAGTAATAAGGCTGAACTCTGATCTTTTGATTTGAGTGTTAGTTTAGTTCAAGGGTCAGGAGTAGATTAGCATCAAGAGCTGTTTACCAACTGAATTGATAAGGTTACTTGGTAAAATGGTATGGCTGGATCTTAATGACTTATTCTTAGAGTTTTAACAGAGCAAGCTAAGAAGTTCTTGTGAGATTTTCCCCCTCTGCCCCCTTTTTCCTGGTCTGTCCTTTTCCCCACTTTGTTTTTAATGACATTTAGATTAAGGTTGTGGATTAGGATGTTTGCATAAAATTACAGTATGATACTCAAGATGAAAACATGATAACGAATCATGTCTGGTTTTGCTATTTAAGGTTTTTCTTTCTCTTTTTCTTATAGTTTGAGGGTGGCTCTGGATATGGTAAGTTTATATAGAGAACTTTGACATGCACTTCATTTAGTCAATAAGAGGCTTGATGCATATGTTTAAATCAGACTATTCTTACACAGGGGGCCGTGGTTCATATGGAGATCTTGGTGGACCCATCATCACAACACAAGTAACGATTCCCAAAGATGTAAGTGAAACTGACTTGCTTTCTGCTTATATTTAAATAAATAAATAGAAAATCACAGCCTTTTCTTAGGCTAAGTAAATCAAAAGTATTTGGGATGCTTGACAAGTACTTTTAATATAGAGCAAGTGTTTCTAAATCATTGATAGTTTATTCTTAAGGATGTTTGGTTTGTCTTGACTTTAGAGATTGCACTGATTTTTTTTAATTGTTAATATTCAATAATAGAAATGGTCTACATAACTTGTTTTTACAAACACTTGGTTCTTCCAACTTTATTCCACCTGTGTTTATATAATATGCATTACAGAGACTTTTGAGGCTGTAAAAGACTAAGCTTCCATTGTAACTCTTAAAACTAAATGGATGGAAGCTAGTTGAACAGTACTGTGCAGAGAAAGTTATATCAAGAAATGAATGCTTTATTTTCTCCCCTAGTTGGCAGGTTCTATTATTGGAAAAGGAGGCCAGAGAATCAAACAAATACGTCATGAATCAGGAGCTTCAATCAAAATTGATGAACCACTAGAAGGCTCAGAAGATCGAATAATAACTATTACAGGAACACAGGACCAGATACAAAATGCTCAGTATTTACTGCAGAACAGGCAAGTTGAAGCTTAATTTTGTCCTTACTGTCATTTTTAAACTGATTTCCCTACTACTACTACATTCTAAAGCTCTTCTCTGCAATATAGTTTTTAGAAGGCAGAATTTAAGTAACTATTGAACCTAACTTCTCTAGTGGTAGTTCTGCCTTGATTCTCTTTTCTCTGTTCTAAAGAAAATGAAAATTCCCTCAAAACTAATCTTGATGGAAGACACCTTAGCCAAGCAGTCCTCTCATTTCTCTGGTGAAAATTGCTGCAAAAAAACTACTTGTAATTAATTATATAGAACCTGTAGAAAATATAGAAGATTTCAGTCGATGTTGGTCTAGTTCCGTGTGGAAGACTAGTGATTTTGTTGTTTTTAGATAACCGACAACAAATCACAGTCTGCCATATGGCACAGACCATGCCTCTACAGGACAAGTTGAAATCAATTGGTGCTGTTATGCAGCATTTCACACCTTGCTGGCATTACTTTCTCTTCTTCCAAATATTAACAGTTTTGGACTTGGCTTGCTTAGTTTTGCTTTAATAACATGTTGGCTATCATAGCATTTTTTAATGTTTAACTTGAATGTTTGGCTTTAGATTACTAATATTTAAATGTGCTTAAAATAATTATATGCCTGTAATTATTAGTCATTAAACTTTTAAAATTACTTACTTTTTAAAGTATTGGGGATTTGTAGTTTAATCTTTAAGAATACCATTGTAAATATTGATGCAAGATGTATGGTCAATCATTCTAATATATGCTTTTTTCTTTTTCTTTTATAGTGTGAAGCAGTATGCAGATGTTGAAGGATTCTAATGCAAGATTATTTTTTCTTTTTTATAGTGTGAAGCAGTATTCTGGAAAGTTTTTCTAAGACTAGTGAAGAACTGAAGGAGTCCTGCACCTTTTTTTTTTTTGTTTGTTTGTTTTTTAATATCTACTTCTGTTTAAATAGCCAACATTCCTCTGCTTCATAGGTATTCTGCATTTGAGGTGTAGTGGAATCTGCTTTTCGCCAGATGTCATGTTTTAGTTCATTACAAATATTTAGGGGAGGGAAAAAGTTGCAAAAGACTAATACTGAAATTTTGAAACAGCAGCAAAGAGTGGATTTTATTTTTGTTCAGTGGTGGTAAATCATAATTGTTTTTTTTCTGTAATTATTGTGAACACCCTGCTTTATGTACACTGTAATTTTTTTTTTTTTTTTTTGATGGGAGGGGAAAGGATTGGTTGTTCACATGTCCCTGACATCCTTTGAGGGAAGTGTGTAGAATGTAATGTTCTTTTTTAAAATGTATTTTATGAAATAAATTTAGTGAACCTATTATTGGTGGTCATTTTTTTTTAATATATGTAAGGTAATATCTAAAATAAATACACCCTTTTTTTTTCCCCCCACAAGAAAATGCGTAAATGAAAGTTGCTGTTAAGCTTGCTCTTCTGCTTCTTTGGTATATATGGAGTTATGTGTTTTTGGCAAATTAAAGAAACAGTGTAAAAACAGTGACTCGGCTTTGCTATTTGGGGAAAAAAATTGCAAAAAATATTAATGCAAACATTGAGTGAAATTTGACCTTTTTTCATGGTTTTGGTCTTCTCAGTACATATATATATATATAGGTGACATATAAATAAAATATTTTAAAACTTTGTGATCCCATTGAGTTAACAGTGGGTTAAATACACCTGGTTCTACACAGCTTGCTTGATGCAAATAACATTAAAAATAGCAGTTGTTGAATAGCAGTTAATAAATGAATTGTACTTTTCAGAGCTCTCATTTGTGTAAGATAGAGACTTGTATGAATTGACAAATTGACAGTATCTAACTTGATTTTCATTGTATACAGAACTTAAATTTGTTTGGTTTCCCTGTTGAATTCCATAGAAAATATTTGTGAGAAATTAAAAAATAAAGTACTTCTGGATATTTTTAATGTAATACCTTGGCATTTGTATATATAGTTTACAAGTTTTAATTTCACTTGCTAAATAAAAGCAAAAGAAAGAAATTTAAAAGAACTTTGTAAATCTGAATGCAATCGATCCAGATTAAGTGGATTATTTCACTTTGGGGGAGGTTATGTTGATACTGAAAAGCAACAGAAAGAAACTCCTTAACACCAATTTGTAGGTGTTAAAAAGGGCATTCTTTATTCAGCATGCTGGAGGTTTGGAGGATAGCTCCTGTAATCGAATGTGCCAAATGACAGACAGGGCTTTTTATTACACATACTGTTTACATATTCATTAGATATTCTCACTTAATACACATTCATTAGTTTGCTTTACATAGTCACACCCATTTTGGAAGTCCTTCTTTGGTCCTTCTCAGTCTTCTTTGTCATCTTGACCTCAGTTCTTAAACAGGCACAGTATCATAGTGTTTCACCACCACAAACCATAAAGTTTATCTTGTTTGGGTATACAGAGCTTAGTTTACATCCTGTTTGTTTGAGTTACATCCCTTATCTAATTCTCTAGAACTTCTCTAAGATTATATTGTTCTTTATTTGGGTATTCTGGAATACTGGGAGTAAAGTTTCTTGAACATTTTATTTTTCTCATCTTTTTGAACCATATGGGGTAATTCCTGTCATAATGAGCTATGCTTGCAATATAATGGGAAAGGGCAAGGAGCTAAGATGTGACCTACTTAGCAGAGCTATAATCAGTCCTTAGAAAGCACCCAAAACCTGCTTTTGTCTAGGGTGAGGAGTATGCCAGTTTTCCCAGTAAGTAATGAATGAATGGCCAGTCTTCGCGAACGAAGAACCGGGGAAGGTCTTTGCACCTTCCAGCCCGCGCAGTGGATTTTTTTTTAGGTGAGACACAGTGTGCGCAAATCTGAGCCCACCCTTTAATCCTGAGGTTCATCTGCCGGGGCCAAGCACGCTTGGACGGTGGCAGCGAGGTCCTCAGGATGTAGATGGATTGCCTTACAGGGCTAACGAGCTCCATCTGCCCGGGGAGGGGCCCCGACCGGGACTCAAACCTGGGTCTCTGCGGTGACAGCGCAGCGCCTTTCCCCTAGACCACCAGGGGCTCCCAGTAAGTAAACATACATGTAGAATTGGCACTTCCTTGGGAAAGGCTGAACATAAATTAAATGAAGAAATCAGCAAAAAGGGTCAAACAAAAATGCAAATTAAGAAAAAACATGGGTGCAGGATTTTTTTTCTATGCACTTCTAGATTGTGTATATGGTTTGTGTTTTTAAAATATTTTAGTGGGAAAAAAGCTGCACAAGTCAATATACTGGAGAATAATGTTTTGGTTTTTCTTTTTAATGACCTGCATCTTTTAAGACACTAACCTAGTCTTACAAATAAGCACCATTTTAGCTTTAGTAGGGTTTTCTTTAGGGTTTCCTTAAAACCAACCATTTATGATTTGAGATGAGCCTTAGGGATTCTTACTGTAAGGAAGCTGTGGGTTTGGGTTTTATGTCTTATGCCTCTGTTCCCACCCCTCTTTTCCCTATTGACTTAGAGCCAAAAAGCTGATTGTCTCTTGAGGAGGACTGCTGGGGTTTTCTGCTAGGAGAGGGATGTAGGGGAATACTGATAGCACAATAGTCCTTACACTTGTACTTCAAAATAGTTTAGTAATACTGATTGTAGAAACTGAAACAATTTTTAAAAGGTTGACTGCTATGTATAGAAACTGCTGGATTTGAAATGGAACCCTTAAGGTATGGGTTCTGTAGCAGCATTCACTGTTGGGTGCATGTTTCTGTACATTATGTCTGAAATTACCTTAAAATATCTACAAGTTATTTTTTTAACTGCTTGGTGCATGAGTTACCAACCATTACACATTTGCCATTTTTGGCTGTGCACATTTAAAGTAGGTTTATATGATCTCATTAAGTCAAAACCAATTTTATATTGTACAAGCAATCTACAGTTTATTTTAAGGGAATATTACTATAAAGTTGTGAACTGGTTCGTGAAACTCGCTGGCAGGCACTGCTAGCACAACAACCAACCTGAGTTTCCTCCTCCATGCCTGCCCAGTGGCAGACAATGTGATTTTTCCTGCATGGCACTAGAAGGGTGGAGCAATGTGGCATCACCAAGGGGTTGGTTGTGTGAGGGGTTGTCATGTCTGTGGTAGCTGCTTTCCTGAACCAGTAAAGGAGTAGTAGTTTTGGTCATACAACTTCATGGCTCTGCCCGGCTGCAGAAGTGAAGGCTGTGCTGCAGTCAGGCAATGTGAGGCAATTAGGGGACTGGGTGGTGGGGGAGGTGTGCTCTGGGGCTGCTTCTCGTCAATGTCCCTGCAAGGTGGGGAGAAGAAATGAAAAAAAAGGCAACCTTGAAAATGTCTTCTAATGAAAATGCCTTTAAAATGTTTTCTACCCCCAGATGAGGCCGAGCATGGTGCTGTTCGTGTTACACACACACAAGTCTGCCAAGTTCATAACAGACAGCAGCTAGATGTCTTTGTGGGCATCTTGAAACAAAATAAAATAAAACTTAACCATGTTAGCATAACTTTCTGAAACTTAGCATGAGTGTGACTTTGCAAAATATAACCGCCTTGCAAGTAGGGGATCTGCCTAACTGTGGGTTGTTAAGATAAAGGGGAGGTAACGGCTTGCATGAATGGGTAAAATAAGGGAATGTTATGCAAGAAGAGACCAGTGAGAGAAAACCGGAAAATAAGTACTTCAGCATGTAACAGTAGTAATCAATAACTTTGCAAGGGAAACAGGAGATGGGTGGTGGTATAGTTGCTTGAATTGATAAGGCTTTATGTAACAACTGTATAGTAATAAGTATAGGGAATAGGTAACCGAATGTATAATAAGACAGCTACAAACCAGACTTTGTACCGATTCTCAAAGAATGTATATGATAGATAATATTTGAAACTTGCTTTCTCTAGTGTATAGAAAGCTCTTGAGTTTTGTCACTTGTTGGACATGTTCATGGTGGTTCAACCCCTACATGGCCCCAGCCATAATAAAGGTAGCTTTTCTATTCAGTACATACCGTGTAGAGATTCCTTTGAATCAATCTTATTCGTGACTCTAATTGTCTCTATTAAAAAGACTGTAGTCACTTGTTCATGGCTTCCTGTCATGGTTTAGCTAGTTTCTTGGAAAACCTTGCAGGAATTTTTTCCCTTCCCCCTGCCCTATGTGCAGAGCTACTAGGTAAGTACTTAAGGACACAAAAGAGCTAGCTTGCTGGCTAATGGCTGAGAGATTAGCCTCCTAGGAAACGAGGCAGATGAAAGGCTATTGTTTACCTTTTTCTCTCATCTCCTGGTCAACAGGGGAGGAGGAGTTTGGTGGGCTGGGCTGTTGGCTGCAGCACAGGTTGGAGGGGAAGCTTGGTGCTGCTCTCAGCCCTCAGCCGCTTGCCAGCTGGGAGCCTTGCCTGGATTCTTCATTCAGATAGTAGCTGAGTTTTTTTCCTTTTTTTTTTTTCCCTTCTCCCTTTCCCTGGCAGTGTGTCCTTGTGCACATCAGGGGGAGAGAGAGAACTGTGCAGAGGAGACTGACCAGCCGGAGTAAGTAAGAGCTGTCTGGTCCCTTTCCCTCTCTCCCTCTCCCCTTTCCCGGGTTTTTTTTTGTTTTTTTCTCTGACACACTCCAGAGGGCGTTCTTCCCCCCCCCATCCCCCCCGGCGGCAACCAGGGATCCCACAGCGCCACCTGGTGGCGGGCACAGGACATTACAAGTTCTGCACCTCCAGTGATCCAACAGCGCCACCTGGTGACTGGCACGGGACTGGTTCTGCGACCCCAGTGACCCAACGGCACCCCCTATTGACTGTGTTTGGAATTGCACCAAAGGGCGCAAAATTGAACTGTTTACTTTTCCCTTTGCCTGTTTATCGGTTTGGTTTTTTGAAGGGGATTATTTGTGGGTATAGGAGTATTGTTTGGATGTTTTACTTGGTTTTTTCCATGTTTCTGTTAATACACACCTACCTTTTAATAAAGGGTTCTTATTTTTCCTTTTCCTTAAGTTTTTTCCAATCGGAACCTCTTAATTCTGGATTTATAATTGCTTAGAGAGAGGAGTTTGGGTCTTTTCTCATAACTCATCCTCAGCAAAAGACCCTTCTCTCATTTAAACTGGGACACTTCCATTATTTCACCTAAAATAAATTTTGTATTTTCTTGATAAATGAGAAAACCATGCTTAAACCAAGAATCCTTTGAGTTGATTTAGTAGAACTAAAGCAGCTCCACTAAATCTGAAAAAAACATTTGCTTCTGTAAACAGTATTCTAGTGTTAAGGAAACTTAACTGCATGGACCAAAACCCCTTCACAGTGGGCAGTTCCAGTGAGCAGACAGGTGCCC